TTACAGCACAGTCATAGCCCAAATATCGGTAACCATACAGCCAGCTACAGAAATTATTTTGCCCCCATCCCTTCTTTTCCATTCCGTATTTTGCTCCCCATTAAATACAAGCTTCAGTTCAAAAACCTGCCGGCAGTACCCACAGCTCCTAAGGACGGTGCTTTTACAGACCCCACAGCGCGTTCGCAGCATGCCCAACACCCCCCCGGCACACCAAACCACCGCGCACCGGCCGCCTGACACATATTTGGGTTTGGTTCTGTTTGCACAGCCTATTTTTGTTCAGGCAATCATGGGCAAAAATCTTAAAACTCCAGCAGCCTTTCAGTAACCAGTTTGATTTAATTACAGGCCTCTTGTGAGGAGCAAGAGCCCCTTGGTAGGATTTATAACTACACTACAGAGTTTGCTCTCCAAACAGTAAAGACGAGACAACTGATGGTGATTTTTCTCACCTTTCTGACTTTACGCACGTGCAGAACGAGCCGCGTGCACAGCTTGGCAAGTATCCGAGATCTAAATAAAAGTGTTTCTTCCATAGAGCACTAACAGCTTTACTCAGTCTACTAACTGCACCATTAAAGTAGATGGAGGACCTTTATGAGCAGTTTTAAAAATAAGCAGTCTATATCAAAGGCCTATAAAAAATAATCATCATCTAGAAAAATAGGTGAACAGATCAGGCAGGGACATGAGCTGGCAGCTTCTTCCTCCAATTAAATGACCTACTAGTGGTGTTTGCCAGGTTTGCTCCTAACCAACCGTCTCCTACACCACCACCTCCCTTAAGCTTTCATTAAACTGTCAAGTTGCTTATCAGACAAACTACACCTTACCAAATGAACACAAGGGGACTAGAAAGACGTAACTTGGCTACTTTTCTTTCAAAGACAAAACAGAAGCTCAAAAATCTCTTATTCAGTACATCCCACTACTACCACAGAAGGAACTTTATAGCAGCATATTTACAAATACGGTCTCTGATAGCCGTGACATTGAGTTAATCGAGTCAGGACCAACTGGAATACTGACAAACCTCAAACACCACAGCATCCATTTCACCTGAGCTGGCAAGAAAAAAAAAATATATAGAACACATAACAGGTAAGAAAAAAAAAAATTCATTTTGCATGCCTTTCAGCTAGAACACACCATGCTGCATCTCTCTACCTGCTGACTTCTTACACTGCACTAAAGTCCCTCTTTGCTGGTTCTATACCCTGCTTGAAAAAACTGCCCATACACAGCCCTTGCAGCCGTGTTTGTACCACCCCATCACACAAAAAAGTAATTTATTCTTGATAAAAACCAGTGTTTATTAGATTTACGTTTTCAATTAGCCCCTCTCACTTTGTACTTACAAGAGCTTCCACAGTGCCAAGATCTTTGATTTTGTTGCCACTTAGATTTAGATATGTGAGATTTGGACATCTTTCTGCAAGGACCTCCAGGCCTCCTGAAATGATGTTGTCGCTCAGCTCTAACTATTATACAGAAAAAAAAAAAAAATAAAAATCAGTAATTAAATGGTTGGCTTCTTACCATTCGATTCAGATCGCATCATTTTTAATCATTCTCCCTTTAACAGTTTCACCGCAAAATGCTTTTGAAGACTCGCACGAGTTAACAAGCTTTGGCTGCCAAAAAGTTCCTTAAAGTTTGAGAATTATAAATAACTCCTTAAAACCTCTTGGGTTCAGATACCTACATTTTCAGTGAGTACATAACGCTGGGATTCACTGCAAGCTTTTGTTCTGCCAGCAACGCGCAACGGTACTTCACGGCCTCGGCTACACAACGGCCTCTTCCCAACCGTCGGCACTGGGCAAGCCCTGGCCAACCTTCGCGTTTTTAACACACCAGCACGGACTGTCTTAAGAGTCGTTGACCAAACCCAACGGGGCCATAATTAACTGGAGATACCCAAGTCAACTCAGATCTTAAAAAACCAACCCCGCCACAGTGGACTGGACGCGGCACTGTTTCCCAGGGCTGCCACCCCATCAATTCCGAGCGCCGGAAGGCACAACCGCGGGCTGGCACCTGGGACTTTGACTTCTCAAAGCCCCGGCAGCCGCGAGACACACGTACCTTTCGGAGCTTACTCAACGTGGGAAGCTTGGCCAGCGATGTCAGCTCTACATTGGCCATGCTAAGAAACTCCAGTTCTTTAAAGGAATCATTGAGACCTTCGATCTCACCGTTGCTGGATCGGCAGTTATCGAGCACCAACTCCGTCACCTTCGAAGAGGACAGCAAGTCACTTGTCAAGTTAACAAGCACCAAAAAAACCGCGCACTTCATCTAAACCACAACTGGGAGACTGTTAAATATCTGTTGGTTTGGTGTTCGGTTTAAATTTAGACAAGACTTGCGGTCTGAAATCACTGACACCCGCCTATTTGAATAAAAAAAAAAAAAAAAAAAAAAGAGTATGCAACAGTTCCCCTTCCTCTGAGCATGCGTCAAATTCTGCAAAAACTGCCATCTAACCCCAAACTTTACCGATAGACACTTTTATAGCTTCCTATAGTGCCACCACAGCCGGGGCTGTACGCTGCCCTTGTGCACAAGTGAACTGCTAACTTGTTTCTGAAGTCTAATTTAATTGTGCATATTCAAACCTATAAAAGCGTTCAACTTCTTGCTGAACCCTAAACCTTCTGGCTCCAGATTATTTTACCAGTGAGTTCTGCAGGTTAATTAAGCCCAATTAAATTATTTCCTCATGCCAAAGCCACTAAAACAACTAGATAATCGATACAGCTCGCGTACTTTGAGAAGCGGTAACAAGGAGCAGCCAATTAATTTTAAATTATTTTATCTACAGTGGAACATACCACTCATTAGAAAGGACATTAACAAGGTGACTCTTTCTTTCCCCGAATGCTTTTAAATAATAACATTTTAAGACTGCTGCAGAAATACTTGAGTTTCTGGCACATTTTGCCAGCTTCAAGTCAGATCTAACTATTGTTTTATTTTTTTTCCATCAAAAAACATTATTCCAAACAAGCACAAAGTTTTAAAGAAAGCTGCCAGGGAGAGGGGGGCCTTCACAGCTTCGCCCAAGAAAGACGCACGCTAAAAGCACACCGAGGCCTTTCCAGGTACCTGCCACTGTTAAACTTACTGAAAGACGAGCAGTTTGATTAAATCAACAGTTTTAGGCACTTTTTCCCCCAAATCCCCCACGACTCAGGTCAGCCTCGCAGCGATACCGACGTCGCTGGACTTTACTCCTGGGGCGAACCAGAGGCACCGGCTGCTCTTTTTTTTTTTTTTTTTCTTACCGACCTCGATGCAAAACCATCTGCCAGAAACACGAGTGGGGCAGCGGAGCCCGCGAGGTGACACGGGGCGGGGGGGGGTGAGGACCGTCCCACGCGACGTGGCCCCCAGGCTTTGGCGTGGGGGGGTGTTGGCGTTTTGTGAGGGGCAGCGCGCAGCCTCGCAGCGCACGTGAGCTCCCAAATTTTCAGCATTTTTTTTTTTTTTTTTTTGCATCTTTCCAAATAAAAGGGAAGTTGGCGGCGTGGAGGTGGAGGGGACAGCCGTGACCGGGGGGGGGGGGGGGGTGGTGGGACCCCCCCCCCGCCCCACCGCCGCTCCCCATCGTGCGGCAGGAAGGAGCGGGACCGAGCCACGCAGCGCACCGGGGCGGGGGGGGGGGGGGGGGGCTGGAAAATTAATTAAAAAAAAAGAATTAAAAGGGTGAGGGAAGGGTTGAGGCCGGACTCGGCGCCACCGTGACCTGTTTACTACAACGGCGCTCGCAAGTTGGAGGCGGCCGGCGGAGAGCCGGGAGGGGATTAACGGCGGGCGCAAGTTGGGGGCCCGCCCGCCGCCCCCCTCCGCCAACTTCGGGGGGCGAGGGGCGACCCGGCGGCGCGGGGCGAAGTTGGCGGCGAGGAGACGGAGGGAAGGAAGGAAGGAGGGAGGGAGGGAGGGAAGGAGGGGGCGCGGGTCCCCGCCGCCCGCCGCCCACCGCCCCGGGGCCGGCGCCCGGAAGCGCCGCCCGCGCCCCGCGGGGCTCCTGCGCCACGGCTGACCCAGATACGGCGGGGCCGGGCCCGCGCGGCCCGAGGGCGGCGGCGGTCGCCCGGGCGGGGGCGGGAGCGCGGCCCGCCGCCCCGCCGCCCCTCACCTTCTCGGGGGCCCGGTTCCTCAACTCCAGGTTGATGCGCTTCTTCATCTCCATCGCCCCCCCCCTCCCGCAGCTCCGCAGTGGCGAGGGAGGGTGACCGGGCGCGGCGGGGGAAGGGCCGCGGGGTCGCTGCTGCGGCGGCCGCCGCCGGGAGGGAAGCGGGAGTGGGGAGGGGAACGCCGCGGGCAGCCGCCGCCGCCGCCCCGCTCCGCCCGCAGCTCCGGCCCCGTCAATGGCCGCTCGCACACTGAGCCTCCATGACATGGCGCATGGCGCCCCCTCCCGCCGCCACGCCCCCGCCCCGGGGGCGGGGCTTCCTCCGCGCCACCGCCCCTCTCATTGGCCCCGCCGCGCCGAGGGGGGCGCCTCGCGATTGGTTCGCCGCGCTGCCCGTCCGGCGGCGCGACCTTTTAAAGGCCGGGTTGGGGGGGGGGAAGGGGAGGAGGCGGGGTTTGTCTGGGTGCGCGCGGGCGCGTTCCCGCCAGCCGCGCGCGCCCCCTTTGCACGTGGCGATGCGGAGGTCACGCGTGGGGTGTTGCACGCCCGGTCGCAGCGGGGACGGTTGCACGGGGTGGGGGGGGGGGAGGAATGACATGGCCGCTGCAAGCGGCGCTTTGCACGCGGCGTTTTGCGCGCTCGCTCGCGTGGGGCGGGGGCCGCGCGTGGGAGGGTTGCGTGTCCGATTGCACGGAGTGGGAGATCGGCGGCGGGGGGGGGGGGGGTTTGCATGCCCTCTTGCGCTGGGGTGGGCTGCGCGTGGAGGTTTGCACGACCCGCTCAGCACGGGGATGAGGCTCCGTGCCGCGTTTTGCGAGTGTGTGTGTGGGGGGGTGTTCGCGCGTGGGATCTTGACTGAGGGAGGGGGGGTGTTTTGCACGAGGGTTCGCGTGGTGGACTGCAAGCAGGGCTGCGCGGTGGGTGCTACCCGCCCAGTTTCATGGCGGGAGGTTGCCCCGAGTTTTTGTTGTGTGGGCTACTGCGGAGAAGTTTTTGCGTGGGGGATTTTGCATGCCTGGTTCCACGGGGCAAGGGGTGTTGCTCCATGCTCTAGTTAAAACCTGGATGGCAACAGGGTCAGCTCTGGGCCTTGGGCTGTCCCTGCCCTGTTTGTGTCTCCCCACCAATGGCTGCACAGGCCTTGCGGTTAAAATTGCAAAAAAAAAAAAAAAAAACAAAAACAAAAAGCCACAAATAAAAGGTGTAAAAACACCCCGAATAGGGAAACGTGCAGGGAACGATGAAACGCCAAAGCAAAACCTGTTGGGTCTGGCCAAATCTCAGTCTGGGCTGCCCACAGCCCCCCGTGGCAGAAGGAGAGGCCGTTGTTTCTGTTAATTTGCATTATTTTTTGTTAATATGCACGAGGGCAGCTTTGCAAACGTACAGGGTGTGTAGGGGAAGGTAGGTGAATGAGCAAACAGCTGTGTAATAGCATAATTCTTCAATTTTGAGGCACCTCTGTGTGGATATACGTGGGTTCTATACTTCTGGAAACATGGGAAACTTCCTTGGTGCTTAAATAATATTTCTATATTTAAAATACAGAATTCAGCGGCCGCAGACCGTGCCCATAAGTCACCAATATCCTTAATGTTCAGTCCAGGCTTTGCCAGGCTGGAAGTTTTAGTCCCTCCTAGACAAGTAATTCCAAATATTTATATGTTAATTCTTTTAACTTGGAGACACAAATAGCCGGAGATGTCCTGGCAACTCAGTGGCAGAACAAAAAAAAAAAAAAAAAAAAAAATCAACATGGGAATCTGCTGGTCTATTCTGCTTTGTGTAAACTGAGCAGAGAAAATATTTCCTGTTTCAGGCTCAAATAGTGAGAGTTCAGCCAGTCTGTTTCTCTGGTTATTTGAGAAGGGGTTAAAAATGGGGTCAAAAAGACTGACTCTTGCCAATTCCGTGCCGTATTTGGTCTGGAAGGTATTTTATTTTAGGGGGTCTTGAATACAAAGTCACCCATGGCTGTAGGAAAAATGAGGGGTGGTTTTGTTGGGGGGGGGGAACCTGGGGCAGAGCTGCTTGTGGCACCAAGGGCAGAGCATCGCTTTGGTCCAAAACTGAAATTGCTTTGTGATTCCTGACATTGCTTAAAAATAGACATTTGGAAATAAAAGTTTGTGGGGGGGGAGCTGAGGCAGGATTTGATACCGGCAATATTCTGCCAGTGCAGAATTGTACTTGGCGCGTGCCTCGCCTATATTGCGGGGTTTAAACCAAGTCTACAATTCTCCTGAATCGGTGTTACCCACATTTGTTTTAGAATTTGGTGTCTGCTTCTGGACAGCAGCAGGAAAAAAAAGAGTTTCAGGGTTGAACCTACAAAGTATCTCTAACGTTGCTGATTAGCCAGAAAAAAAATCTGTGTATTTGGTCGGATGATGCAGCGAGTCTGTGTCCTCGGGCGCTGGGCTCACGCCTCGTCCCGTGCCTGTTTGCCGTGAGAGTCCTGGTCCGAGCGGCGTGTCGTGAAGGCAATGGAAGAAAAATGGCAGAGTTAAGGAATAAAAGCAGAATTATGCCTTTTTTTTTTTTTTTTTTTCAGATCCAGTTGCTCTGTGTGATGCTGATGGAAATGTGCTCTCGGCGCTGTCGCTCTTGCTGGGGCTTTAAGATCTGACATAAGGTTGGTATTGATACCGGGACACTGAGTGAAAACAATCACTTAGGGCTAAAAAAATGCAGGAGACCAGTCCCAGCCCTCATCAGTTACTGTATAAATCTGCACAAATTCACCTTTAACAGGCCTCTGAAAAGGGGGTTGCAAACCCTGGAGCCGGTTACCTCCTCGCTGGCCCTGTGGAGGGCGGCTTCGAGCTGCTCTTCCGTAGTCGTGTGCGTTTTCGTGCGCGCCGCTGGTGGGTTTGGGGGGTGAAACCAGACCACTGTGGTGGCTTCTCTACGAGCGCTCGGCAAAAATCAGGATCGTCAACACCCAGAGCGAGAAACAAGCCCTTAAGGCCATCCCAGACCCTTTTATTTTTTGGCATCCATCAGGTCGCCGGGGGGCTGGATGCCCTTTCTGAGGCTGGACCGTGTTAAATGCATCCAAAAAAAGGTGGTTGCCCTCCCCTGCGGGCTAGCAGGGGGAGAGCAGAGTTGCCTCGACGCCTGCTCCAGGTCTTGCCCCCTCCCCGGCTCTCGCAAAGCCCCCGTGGGCTGCAGCTCCCCTGGGATTTGCACCCGGATCCTGGGAATCGCGCTAAGACCGGGCGCAGCACAATTTATTTCGCGGAGCGTTTGATAAGGTGCTGCTGGAAAACACCAGAGACCTTGAGGGACCTTCTGCTTGCTTCTCGCCTGAAGATAACTGGGAAAGGTTTTCAAAAGCGGAGGGAAATCCGCTTTGTGTTAAAGCAGCTTATCCCCTGGAGGTTTGCTGGGCGGCCGCTTGCAGAGCTGAGGGTCGGGCGGGCATTGCACGAGCAGTAAGAAAAAAAAAAAAAAAAGGGTAAATCTGGGAAAGCAACTTGGGAAAGCGTCCGGACGCAGTGCAGGGAGGATGGCTTCACCCCCGGCTTCGGATGCGGACTGAGGAAAAGCTCCCGGGTTTACCGTCGAAAGGACCCCGGGTGAGATTTTGGTTTTCCTATTAGAAACACAGGTGTGCCTTTCTACAGGAAAAGACTTAAAATAACATCTTAAATGCTTAATATTTTCACTAAGACAAGTGCGTTTGCTCACTCTTAGTATCATATGCAAGACTGCGGATCCTGTAACAGAAAACCTGGGTTTTTCCCCAGTTGGAGCTCCCCGGGCTGAACCCAGAGCATTGGGGATGGCCAAGGATGGTCTGGCTGGAGCAGAGCCCAGCAGCAGGAACTGGTGTTTGTGGGAAAATGCATTTAGTGTTGCAGGAAAAAAAGAGCATTTATAAACTAAAGAGATTTTGATGAATAATATCAGCTTTAGGCAAAGCAGTAAGGTCATTTCCAGCTATACATCGTTAGTTGTAATTAGGTCAGGACATACCTTATCCTGAACACTGAATATAATTTTTGGCTCTTCCTTCTGGTCTTGAAGTGAGCTATAAAGCTAAGCTGGGTTTGGACAATAAACTTGGGGTACTCTGTATGTCTTCACATTAAATAACTTTGTGTGGTTGGGTTTGTCTCACACTTCTAGAAAGGGTTTGTGGTTTTCCATCCCTGGGTGTCAGGAACACCACCATTGAGTAGTGATGCCAGTAATTATTTAGTAATATATTTTAATGAGTAAACAGCATATTATAAGCCTCATGCGTGTGTTTTGCTTTCCCTTAATTTTTTCTTCATTGCAGGATTGCAAATCTCAACGCTGTGTGTTCAGACATTATTTTCCAGAGCTCTTCTAGGCAAAGCTCAGCATTTTTTCTCAACTTTTATAGCAGCGAGGAGCCAGGAGGTGGCACTGGCTGGCAGCACGTTCAGACCTCGCTCCCTTCAGCAGCTCCTGGCCCTGTTTCGGAGCCTTTTGGCTTCCCTAGAAAATAAACTATCTCTACTTTCCAAGGTTGGGAGCCTGGATAACCCCGCAAGCCGGGGTGTGAGGTGGCAGGGACTGGTCGGTGACGGCACCGTCCGCGGCACCGCTGCTCTGTGGGTGTCGAGGAGATGGGTGGGTTTGGGCTGTACGTGCTCCGGCAGACCGGGGAATGTCTCCCGGGGGCTCTGGAGGTGTGCCCGGGGGAGTTTGGAGCTCTGCAGCCCCGGGGGTTGTGCGGCCGCGACCACCATGAGCTCTGCCTGTTGGGTTGACTCAACCTCCGTTGACTTGCAGGAGCTCCAAGACTACGTGAGTGCACCTGGATCAGGTTTGATGCTCTTCCTTCCCCATAACTCTTCCAAAGAAAAGCAGTGTAGACACACAGAGTGTGGGATTGCATATTTTTCCCCGGTTGGGCCAAGAGGAGCCTTCTAAACTCCCAACTTCTTGACCAAAAAAACCCTCTTTCTGGCACAGTCTCTTCTCCCTGGGGAGCTGGTGGGGGTTGTATTGGTTGGAGGGGCTGGTTTTTGTCCAACTTCTCATTGCACTTCAGATTTTGCTGGTGTTTCTAGAAAACCAATAGTATTAAGAGCAATTCTGAAAAAAAAAAAAAAGCCTAAGTGGAAAAGTTCTGCCTGCAATTCCTAGGTAGCTATTAGCTTGTGTTTTATGGGTTTAGATGCTTAAACAGGTTCTTTTGATGGGACGGTCACTGTACAAGTTTCTTGCATTTGTTATCCCTGTTCCTCTGGTTGATGATGTGGAGGGTTTGTCCCAAAACAGCCTCATTTAAGGTGGTGGCTTGGGAAGATGGGACATGGCAAAATCTGCATCCAGTCCCCAGGGTGCTGAGGTTTTCTTGGGGAATTGGGGCAGAAGGAACCCAGCTCAGGGGTGGATGGGGCTGGAGTTCTTGTGCTTTCCTGGAGGGAGTTGGTGGCTTCATGCTAGAGACTGAATCCTGATTGTTAGTAATTTTATTGGCAGGAGTTCATATTTACAATAGAATAATAGGAAATAGGAAAGAACCTAGTCATTACAAAGCACTTAAGTGTTTGCACAACTTTTATGGCTTGGGACAGCACCATCCATCTATTGAAAACTTTGTACATGAAGTCACAACTGTACTAAAAACAGAAGTGACCGCTTTGTTCAGAGGATGTAATTTCCAACGCGGTGACGATATGCTTTTCTTCATCAAAGCCATCATGTCTGAAACGAGGGGAAAAGGTGAGGAAGTGGTTGCCACGTCCTCCTATTGTGTTTCAAGACGCGCTTGTGGCGGGACGGGGATTTCATGTGCACCTGGGATGTTAGTGAGCTTCAGGCTCTGGAAAAAAAAAAAAAAAAAAGGGATTTGGGTGGTTGAGCAGCAGAAGTGCCGGGGGCCTAGACCCAGTTTGGGCCAGGGGGTACCAAAGGGGTGTTCACACTCTTGAAGCTCCCCCTGAAGCCTGAAAGCAAAGAGGTCACTTGGGTGCTTTGGAAAAATACCCTAAAATGCCTTTTCCAAGTCACGAGTAGCAATTAAAGTTTCTTTGATAGTCCCTAGCATTGCGGCTGGATGCCCAAAATGTTGAATTTTTTTTTTTTTAATTATTTTGAAAAGTTGCCACAAAGCACTGCTTGCTGCTGCTTTAGAAAGGGATGAATTTTGCTGGCTTAAAGACATGCTTTTAGTGAGTGCTTAAATCCTACAGGGCTTTAGTACCTTCTGAGGAGGAGCACCGGGAGTCATAGCAGGAAACCCAGGAGGCTGAGGAGGATGACGAGGGGGAGGTGACACTGGAGGGGTGATCCCGTCGACTCCTGAAACACCTGGCAAGTCGACGAAAATAAATTGGTCAAGAATTGCTTCTTTTTAATGTGCTAAAACCCAGTGGCAGAGCTCGTGTCCTGACGAGCTCCTCTGCCTTCCCACCTATCCCTGGTGACTTCTCCGCGGGGGAGAAGCCACCGCAGTGCCCTGGAGCATCCTTATCCGTATCCATCGCTGAAACCTGGGGGGTGGCATCCTCTTTTGCAAATCCCTTCCCTAAAGTCCTGATGGTGCTTGGGTAGATGTATAGGAAAAGGAATAACCTATGATGCCACAACACAGAATTAATTTGTATCCAGAGGGATCCCTCATTGGGACGGATCTGATAATATTTAATTAGGGAAACTGGGAATTTCCCTTTCTCTAACCTTCAGTGCAAAATAGCAAAATAAATCCATGGCAGTCTAATCACAGCTATTGCATGCCCAAACTCATTTGAGTTGTTCAGTGACTTAAAATCAATGTTTTAAATCCATTTATTTCTTGCAACAGTGGTTTCATCAAGGAAACCCCCCCTTTTTTGGGGAAACACAAAGAGAAAGTCCGACTCACCTCATAGGAGTACATGGTGGGTATTAATGTGGTGTTGTCAGCATAATAGTCTACTGTTGCATATAAGTAGTCACCTGGAATGAAAGCATTGTTCTGATGAGTCTGTATTAATACTTAGTGTAACCAAGCAGGCGTCTTACCCACTCAAGCCATTATAGTACCACTGAGCATCGATTCCAGAGGTTGGAAATGAATTTTAGAGGCTCCCTGGGTTGGGGCCGAGTTTGCTTGCGAGGTGCAGGAGCCTGTTACTGCTGCAGAGATCAAAGCCAATCTCTGCCCAGGAGCAGCTGTTGGGGTTCTCTCTGACTCTTAGGCCAACTCAAAAACCTTTTTAGCTCAACGAGGTGCAACTTGAGGTGGTAACCGGAACAACCAGGGGCAGAACCACTCCAGAAAAACTCTGCTTTTAATGTTGGTTTAGGTTTTACACCACCCTTGTCCAATCACTTAATTTATGGTGGTCAGACCCATTCAGCGTTAGGGCACGTATTTCCTACAGGCGATTCACATTTATGTCGGAGGTTCCTGAGGTAAATGTTTCCATCTGAGAGAGTCTCCAGAAGCTCCTTTTCAAGTCGGTGGAGATACTGGGTACCAGTTTCTCTCCACTGACACTGAAGGGGGTCGGGGGTACCTGTGCTCTGGGCACATCACCCAGCGTTAGGTGAGATGAGTCCCACCTGTATGTCATGACATTGTTCTTGCTCATCTTTTCCCTTCTGAATAGCCAAATTAATTCAAATTAATCTGAATAACTCGGAAAAACACACTGCTGCTGCTTTGTCTGAGCACCCGTGGTGGCTGTAACCAGCCACGCGAATGAATCCCCACGCAGCCACGATTCAGCGAGCCTCTTGCTTCGTGGAAGCAGCATCTCCCCAGACCTCAGCTCCGTTTTCCTACGGGTATTTCTGCAAAGCTCCAATGCCGCGAGGACCTTGGGCCACAGCAGCCCTTCAGTTTCCTTCCGCTGTCCGAGGCAGCCTTGAGCTTTTAGCTTAAATTAAAGATTGAGGGTGCCGAGGTCTGTGCCAGTGGCAACAGAGGGGGGTGGGATGGGCTCAGTGTCCCTTGGGGGTTACTTATAATTGCAGAGGACTTGATTCAGTGGCTTCTCGGTGCCTTTGCATTGATTCATGTGGGAAAGCCTCATCTTGCCTGGCAGAGGCTGGATGGAGACCTCCCAGCATCCTTTCCAACCCCAGTTATTCCAGCTTGCTCACGCAGCCTGCATAAAATGATCAAAAAAAAAACCCCAGAAAAAGAATTTCTCACTGAAATGAGATGCGTAGTCGTATAAAAACTCTGTTATCTCCTCTTCTTCTCCTATCTCAGCATTCCCTAAAAACAAACAAAAAATGAACAGTTCATCATCTGGCACCGTCAGCAGAGACTCGCATCAAGCCGGTTGGATTTGGTTTCACACGGGTAGTTCCATTGATTTATTGGCACTTTGTGCAAAAGCTGTTCCCTGGTGGGAGTAATGGATTTGCAATCCGGCCCCTAATTAAATCAGGGATTTCACAGCAACAGGTATCGTGTTGCAGACCGGACCAGAGCTTGTCCCAGGTGGGTTTTTTCCCTTTCTTTTGAGTGCAGATGTACCGGGGGAAGGAGATGCAGTAATGCAGCCCTCCAACCGTGCTCCTGCACCCCAGATTTATTTTGGGGTGGATCTCAAAGCTTTGCTTCGTGCATTTTGAGCCGCTGCTCAGCCACCGCCCCGGCTGCTCTATTCCTCACGTGCCTTTTGCTGTGAAACCACTGAAAGCTCCCAAAGAAGACTCGTGTTTCCTTAGGGCTGAGCCACTATAAATAGATTTCTGTATCGTGTGATGTTGTCAAGGTCTTATCAAGTTACTCGTTTCCCTTTTCCAAATACAGTGTTCAATGTGGGGGGGGGGGGGGGTTGGGGTGTCTTATAAAGGAGACTAATTGGGAATATTAATATTATAATACTTGCATGCTCATACAATAATATAAGATGCACAATAATATAATAGGCTACTTGTACAACAATATAAGAATTTTATAATATCGATATTTTAATACTCATATATACTCAGATAATATCAATTATAATCCTGATGTAAGTTCTACTATTAATAACTTTAATGATGCCATTAGTTGTGCGTGGGGCCAGCCGTAGCTCCAGGTACCCCTCTCTCAAACTTCCCACCACTTCCTAACGTAGCCCCGAGTTTCTCGGCGCTGGCAGCGGGCTGAGCGGGAAGCCCAGATCCCAAAACTCTCCTCGTTAGGAAATCATCTGAAAAGAGTGACCCAGCCTAAAGATTCCTGGGCAGGCACCAAAGCCCTGGGGAAGGAGCCTGGGCTTTGCGGGACGCGACGCGGCGCAGCCTCATCCATCGCGGTGGGAAACGCCTCGACCCGTCTTATCCCCATCCCGAGTTTTTGGGGGAAACTGGGATCAAAATGGGGAGCTGCAGGGCGGAGTGTGCGCCCAGGCACCCCCACACCTTCCCTGGCTCGCCCTTCGAAAATGCTCTGTCCTTTTTGGCTCTGGCGGCGTAAACTCTGGGGCACATTATCCCACGCACGAAGCTTCCTGAGAAAGTTATTCAGAGTTGGCCGTTGTATTTACACTGGAGCCACGCTAAGAATAACAGCAGAGTTGGATTGCCACAAAGAGCTTCCATCTGGAAATTCCCCCCCCCTGCCCCCCGCAGCCGCGTTTAACCCCTCGCGTGATGTTTTGCGTTTGGCTTCGTTCCTCCAGCACGGGTAGAGGAGGAGGAAGGCTCCGGGCGGGCGGCGGGCACGGTGGAGCCGCAGGCAGCCACCGGTTCCCATTTCCCCCCCTCGGCTGGGGCTGCCTGCCCTCTCATGTTCCCAGAAGCGTTCCCTCATTGCACACGTGCTCGGCAATATTTAGCTTCAGATTCCTGCTTCGAGCTGCCGCTCGTCTTTCCCAGGCGCTGCCAGCGCTGTGGTTTTCCTCCCTCAATTGCCCCAACTTTGGTCTCCCCACATCTCTTAAGTGCCCAGCTAACACTTCAGGAAATCCTGTTTGGGTTCGGTTTGTTTTTTCTTTTTTTCCCCCCCCTTGCCTATATCTATCTCCCTTAATAGCTCCCAGCTGTATAATGCAAATTATTTTGAATGCAATATGGAAAACATTAATTATCAGACTCTACTCTCCCAAGCACAGGCTGTATTCTGCAAGCACACACTTTATTGCAACTTTTAGTAATTGCATCATTTTCCCCTGTTGTTTTTTTGTTGCTCTCTGTCACCAAGCAAACACCCCAAGACCTTTCAACCCCTGAGACATCACCCCACATGCTGTGCAGAAGCACAGAAATCAGCCAAGCCCAGCACTTAGCAGTGTGATAAAATTAAATTGCAAGCCGGAAAACCAGAGAAACATATTTACCCAGCAAAAAATGAAGGACCAAGAGTGCTGCAGTTAAAAAGTTTGTCATCCTATGTCTCGGTGTCGTCTGCT